GAACAACATTGACAATGCTTCATCTAAGAAATTTGAAGTCTATTTCATCTTAGCTGCGAAGATAATAAAATATCAAGCTATTCATTGATTTCAATTTAACAACAATGGATATATAATTACACACCCTCGATCTTAATTTTCAAAAACTTCACGACACTTTCATTTTATATTGTCTTCCTGTTGATTGTTGTTTTTTTTCTCTCACCGAGTTGCAATGCAGAAAAGGGACAAATAAATTCCAAATATTTTATAATACAGAAACTTTAAAACAATGTTTAATTTGTTCGATGCCAAGTCTTTTTATCTCTATTTTTCCTCTGTCGGGATTTTCTAGTAAAAGAAAAAAGTGCTAATCTTACATTGAAAACGATTTTTTTTCTTCTTCTCTATTAATGACTAATATATGCAGCAAATGAAATAATAAATGTAATTCACGATTTTTATAAGCAAATCGTTTATAAGCAACTCTACTCCAATTTAAATAATATTAATCAAGTCCACTACTGAGGTTAGAGTAGCTTGAAAAAAAAACAGAAAATAAATATAGAAAATATAATATGAAAGAAAAAGAGTTACTAATAGTCAACATATAAATAATAAGAACTCCTCATCCCAGAAATTTAAACAAAATATCGAATCTGATGTGATAGACCATTGGAGCAGATAGGAAAAATCCATCAAAAATTGGCACGGATGCCAAACAGCTGACATTGCTATACAGATGTAGAGACTTGAAGTTAGTTCCACCAAGCTTATCAATTAAAATATCACTCATTAAGAGGAGAGAACAAAAGGTAGTGGAAAGAGCAGGGCACACCATCACGGATTCTCCACAACTGCTGGAGGAAACATCAACTGGAACATGAACTCTTCGAAAAGACCAGGACATTACTTACAAAAATAATGCTTGAATCAGACAAACAGAATGCCACAAAACTTTGATAATCTTCCAATCAAAGGGTCATTGTCCACCAAATACTGAAACTAGCACAGATGAATGAACAGAGTCGGAGAAACAACGAGTCCCATTGCTTTTCGTTAAGAACAATAGTTAATGTTGTGTGCCTCTGAAGATTCGGTGCTGAACAAGAGTCTCAACTTCGCCACCCCTATCAGTTGAGTTTCATACGTAGACATGATAGTTCCAGTGGAAGGGGGTGCCTTGAAAATCCCGAAGGACGAAGCAGGTTATCCAGTTTGGAAAGTGAAAAAAGCACGGTAAAAAGCCAAGCTTCCTAAACATCACAAGGGAAGAAAGATTAGCAAAAAAGACTTAGTATAATCTGTTGTGGATTCCGGAATGAAATCCGGTACCAATAACAAACGCTAAGAATGAATATAGGAAAATAATGTATTAACGTAATAATACAAACTGGTAATGCAGGTTAGTAATTCCAGGAATACGGGTTAGTAGCAAAATATCTATACAGTCTTTGGTATTGAAGTCTTTCTGTATAACTTCTTACTGAGTCTACGTGCTCGCTCACGGTGACTCTTGATCGCAACGTTCGTTCTGTTGTCTGTCTGTTACCTTACTCTCACTCTTCCGGTTACCTACAACCTTTCACTCCTCCTCTCCTTGTCTTGCTCTGTCTGGTCTTCACGTAGCAGTGGTATATGTATATACTGAGTGAGTCCATTTGTGTAAAAATTGGTGGACCCCTCAACATAATCATACTGCTAGTTAACAAAGACAACACTTCAGTGGAAATAGACAAAATGGAATACACTCCGAAAAACTGAAAAGCCTAGTTGAGGGTGAAAAAGACTCCAAATTTAAACATTAGAGCTAGCTGTCACAGATCCTAAATATGAACAAGTGTTACTTCACACTGAATTAATGTAGACAGTTGACTCAACGTTACAACAAGCATATTTATGATTTCCCTAAGTTTCAGTAACTTGGTATTCCATTGAGACATATAGTTAGATGGGAATCAAATCCTTCTCTTGGAGAAAGTACTAACATTGCAATAGATAATCTGATGTAGATGTTCAAGTTCTGTGTACAGAAAACATTCTTCCAACGACAAGAAAATATTGGCTATGGGTTCATCGTTGTTACCAGTGATGGCAAACATGCACATGGAATATTTCGAAGATATTGCTTCAGGAACGGCACCACTGTAGCCATATATATGGTGAAATATTTAGATTATACTTTCATACTCTGGACTCTGGAATCCATACAAATGGTGCTGGATCATGTGAACTCAATAAAGTAGAAGAAAATAAAAATTAGCCAACCTTTCTGGTTTGAGCATATCACAAACCCACCTTCACCACACAATACCTCAATTTCAATCTCCAGGATCTACACAGTGTAAAGAAAGAGATCATTTGATGTCTACAACAAATAAATGCGATACTGCGGAGTCAATAATACAGAACAAAATACAATTGATAGCAGGTTCAACAACAGCAGAAAAATGAGAAATCTTCAGTGAGTCCAGTCAAGCATAAGACGCAGTAGCATCGGATCTCTACTCAGAATTGTCTCACATGACAATATAAACTAGAGGATTAAATCGTTGGTTCGTGAATTTATTGACAGAGTAATCGTAGTTTCAATCCCTGGGCCGCGCAGTGTGTATTTGTTCTCAGTAGAAATGGGGCGAGCAATAACTGAGCAGTATTTAAATAATAACTAGACGAGGTATCCATGGACATGAGTAGTGGAACGAGAACAGTCTATCCACGTAGTTCGAACTCCCCGTAGGTTACCCGGATCGACACACACACACACACACACACACACATATATATATATATATATATATATATATATATATATATATATATATATATATATATATATATATATATATGATGAAGGCCGGAGGGCACAACGACCAAAACATTGTGATAACAACAAAGATCGGGACAATAGTCCGCATGTAAATAATGATGACTTCTCATTCCTGAAATTCAGATAGAATAGAGTTACTAAATATGTTTTTCATACTCTGAAATGTATTACTTTTCTATTTATTAGACCCAAGCATAAAAAAAAACTTAAGCATACATTTGAGCAACTTGAATAATAATTCTTGTTCAAAATTAAGCAACGAAAGTACTAGTCAAAATCCGGTGATGCGTATAAATAAAAAAAAATGATCATGTCTACACATGTGTTAAAATAGGATTTTGTGTAGGACGAGTTATCTCGGCCGTACCAGCGAACGAATTAAGAATACATGCACTCCAAGGAAAGCAAAATTACAAAGAAAAAGAAGATTTTAATATATTTCATATACAGGTAATATACTTTCCTTAGGAAAAGTATCATTAATAGAGCTATGAGTAATGCCGCAACTCATTTTACGGTAATATCAAAATATAGAGAAATTACGTAAACTGTAGGTATGTTGTATTCCCTAAATGATTTGCCGGTATTAATATCATTACTATGTAGGAAGCTTGATGCACACCAGAGAAAGTTAAGATGATGGAATCAACCATATAATTATTCGCTTTTCGCGTAATCCATCTCTAATGAACTTTAAGATTAATTGACTGTTTCATATTAAACTGTGTTTTATTTCGGAATAAACCAAGTTGATTATTTAATTAATTCAGTTGGAATTCATAAACTAGTTAATGGGGTGTTTTTGATTTGGTTTTGTTTTTCGTTTTTGCCTTTAGAAAATGCGATAATATAGATGGATAGATTGTTCTTAAATTTTTGGATAAATTCTAAGAAGTGAGGACAGAGTAATGAAAAGAATTTAATCCCATTGGTGCCAGGTGCGTCATGGCGTAAAATATGCACTTCAAGACTTGGCTCCCTCGAGATATGAATACCAAAGAAATTGGTATCAGCGATTTTTCAAATTCCAGTATCGCTGTTCTGTCGACTAAACTATAGAGGTTGAATAGTTTCCTTATAGTGTAGGCTTCCTTGCTTCATATCGCACCATCGACTTTTAACGGCGTTGTGCACAATGTATTTTAGACCCTTATAAAACATTCTGTTGCCTACAAATAATATACTCAAATGCTGAAACGAGATTTGACGAATCTGAGCCAAAATTGGGGCAACTGTTTGATTTGGGAGCCATTTTGTACAATATTATTTGAACTCAAGTTTTTAGATCGTTAGAATTCCGACGATAAGATCCGAGTTCGAATCTCACCATGGTCGATTTATCATAATATCGGCCTGGGGAGACGAACTAAATGATGCGCGGCACCGTTGGGAACCACCTGAAAACCATACAAGGAGTTGAACTAAGCTTTGTGAGTGATATTAGAATTATACGAAAGTGGCACATAAAGGCCAGTCATCGTGACTGAGAGTTATACGCACTGGCGTTGTTCAGACTGTTAATGACTATTGTTATATGATCTCTCTCAGAAACTGTTTCTAAGCTCCGTTCTGCAGGATCGCAGTATAAACCTGTGGGTCTGTTGCTGTTGAATAAAGATAAATGTGACTGGGCAGGTATCTGCAATTAGCTAGCATCAAACAGGTATATTCGTATATTTACCGACAGTTACATATTTGGATTCAGAGTGGAATCAATTCAGGCATGTGTACGTCTAGGCGTGTGTCACTTGTCTAGATCGAAAAAGAAATATATAATCAACAACTGTTTACATTTGATTAGGGCGGTTGTCATCTGTCATTACAACAAAAAATGATTCGCTTGATGTGATTATGAGACAAAATTTACGCCATGTTTGTTTCAGTGAAAGTAAGTTTAAGAATCAAATTTCTTTCGCATTTTTCATTTTATGTCGTAAGTTTTTTTGTTTTTTTTATCTTCATTTCATTTTTCTTTGAGTGTCTTTTGCTATCAAGTTGCGTCTTAAACGAAAACACGACGAGAAAAAAAACTTCCATTTGTGCTGAACTTAGAATTATGATACTTAATTTGATACATACGTAATCATTTTTATTGTGTTTTTCCATAAACTTCGTCGATACATTCGTCTAATGACAGCGTTAAATGGAAAAGAATAGGCGGCTATAGATGCAGATCTTTACTAATCTTAATATGGCACAAAACAACAGCGTTTCCTCTCTGAGTGAAGATCATGTTCGCTATGGTCTGTAAGACCATAAGTTATCTTATTATTTGTTAGAATTTGTTTTATTTTTCGATGTTTTTGGAATTGCTGCTACTGTTGGTTTCAGTATCATTTTCATTTTCGTCATTTTCCTTCTTTTTCAATCAGCAACAGAACTTCCGTTTGTTTTATACGCGCAACTTATATTCTACCTGGGTATTTTTAGATATGCAAATAGATTCAGTTTTCTTTCTGTTCACCTCTCTCTCTCTCTCTCTCTCTCTATATATATATATATATATATATATATATATATATATATATATATATATATATATATATATATCTCATCTTCCCTTCCATCAGTGCTTGGTAACTGGCAGTTTCGCACCTGAAGTAAAGATCAAATTATGGGACACTTCTCTTTGTGAAGGCTCCGAACTTATGAGAAGAGAAACCATTTTTTTTTCTAGTTTGTGTTTGATGTGTTTTGATTATTAATCCTCCTGCACTTGGGTTTGTATATTTTAATTTTTATCTGTATTTTATTTTGTTTATTTCATTTTTTTATTTATTTATTGTTTGCATCCTTGTTTCAAGTCGCAACATTCGCATTTGCTTTTAAAGAAATTTATTTGTTTTAAGATATGGATAATTAGGTTTCTAGCCTTTGGTATCTCGATGTGGTTGTATGAAGTCTAATCGGAATTTGTTTTCGAGTCTTCATTTGTAAATGACCTCTGAATGTTTTATTGGTAAAATTTTCTTCAAACTCATTGAAATATACTTCCCAAAGTCAGACCTACTGCATAATATTTAACAGAAACGTTCAAAAATCCAGCTATAGCTGCAATAGACATATAATACAAATCTCAAAAACACAACAGAGAAATTACAATGTGGGCCAAAAATGCCCACAACTTATACCTGTAACTGCAGAAAAATATCCTAATGCCAACTAAATGGAAACTATCTAAAAAAAACAATGTAATATATGAAGCTACTGTAAGATCCGAAAAAGGCTCTGAAAAATATATATCGGAATAACAGAAAGTCACTAAAAAAGTTAGAATCTATTCAAAATATATTGACAACAAAAATAAGCAAAAAACACACATGTGGGACATCAAAAAGACAAACCAAAACACATCAAAAATAAGATGAAGAATATGAAAAACGTTACCTTCTAAGAACAGTACGTCTTTGCTTAGAAAAGAAAATCACAATAATCAGCTTTACATAACAATATAAACTCCTAAAAAAGAACCAAAGAAAGCTAACACGAAGCAAAAGAACTAAAAAAGCAAGCGCTTGACAATTTTAGTGCGATATTCTATTTAAGGGTAAAACTTACTGACATCGAGTCATGTCCCCTGTTATCACAACAAGGGAATATAACATTTTTAAGAAGGGGAAATCAGGCAGAGTGAGCGATAAGGGTATGAAATCAAATTGTATCTTCTAGAAGAAATTGTTAAATTTTTAACTATTATTTTTTTTTTATCTGAATTGTAATTGCTTTTATTATCGAAATCTTTTATTGAAATTCCCCGTACCGTTAATAAATAATACGAATCAAACATAATTAAAGCGATTTAGAAGATTGTGGAAGAAAGAAAATATCGTGAATATCGTGAATATTCAAAATCAAAGAATTTGGATAGAATAATATTTTTTCTCAAATTAATGTACTTGCCTGATAACAATAAGAAAGATGAGGACAATGGTTTGAATGAAATAACGTAAATAATAATAATATACTTGCATCTACTAACTTTTTATACTCATAATATATTGGCGTAATTCGCTGAGATATTAGGTTTTATCTCTGTTCAAAAATAAAATAAATTTTTGTATTTTTAAAATTTGAAATAAATAAACTTATGATTTACATATAGTGATTTTTTTTTCTGTTTTTTCCCCATCTATGATGTACATTCATTTTCATATCTCGGTTATTCTTTGACAGTTTTTCTACTTTTCATATCGCTATCATTTTCTTTCTTTTCTTTTTCTTTATTCAGTTCTTTTCCTACTGTTTCCAATGACTTATTTATTTTCATTTTATCTTTTCTTTTTTTTTCTTCTCTATTTTTCTTTTTCGTTTCGTTAATTTCCTAAGTTCGTTATTTTCCCCGTCGTTTCTTTCTCGCCCCACTTTTTCAAAATTTCCATTTCGCCGACCATTTATTCGTCCCTTCCCCTGTTTTCTTTTAATTATCCATTTTCTAACTCATGTCACCCACTATTTTATCTCATGATGTCCGTTAAGTTGAATGAAGGTCACGTGACCACAGATTCTAACAGAAACGATAGACACCAAGGAAAAGAAGAAAAAAAAAGGCTGTAAAAAAGTTACGGGCTAAGGAACGACTCAAACTTCTCTTTCTGGAAATGTCATAAAGATATATGGTTGTAAGAAACAAGCTAAAAGAAGTAACTGATGCGTATTTATAAAGGAATATACATCTATACACGTAAATACAAAAGACACACACACACACACACGCAGGAGCGCGTACATATACATACATACATACATACATACACGCGAGCATTGTAAATTAATGCCTGCCACTTTGTTGGCCCGTGAAATTAGAGAGGTTAGTTGCATGGCGATAAAGGCTGAACATTCTCACCAATAACTCATATAATTTTTTGTCTTCTTACACATATCAATCTGGCAAAACTGTGCCTGATATGAAAGTACGCACGAAGCAGAGGTGTTTATTGATTTGCTCGATGCGATAAAATTACATCCACTGATATTCATCCACTCTCACAGAACGTTTACGGAGATCAAACACTGGAAGAGAACACAGGAAGTGTATATTGTGTTTAGAAGTCGCGAAATCATGAGTGTGTATCATGAGCGCCACTGCATAATCTCTTGTTTATCTCTGGTGGAAATGCATAGACAATGTCTAAAAATATTGTTTATTTGTGCTGAAAAGTTACACTGTCTATGGTGTTATTGCGTAATCTTTGTAGTTTCCGTGGAAGTAAATAGGAGAGGAGGGGTTCTGATATATGATAAAATATACAGTTTTAAGGTATTTATAGGTAAAAATGTAGAACATCAGGGATAGAACGTATATAAATATAAAAGTGGACAGTGAGGTCAACACCAAGAGTCGATAGTCTGTTTTATGCTTGGCCGCAATTATCAAGTCATCTTATACATGGCCTGCAGATTGCTTCTCAGTGTTGACCTCATTTTCCACTTCATCAGCCTTCATCAGGGCTTCATATACTGATTTTCCAAGCGTAGATGTGGCACGAAGCTGAAAGTATGCGGAACCCAGTGAAAATCGAATTCACTACTCAGCCGTAATTGTTCTAGCGAGACAAGCTTGTTAACCATTACACCGCCTCGGGGTGCCCCCAGTGCTTCATATTTAACAGTTTTTTGGGGTTTTTTTTTGTTAACTAGGTTAAATTTCTGACATCGTTAATGAGCTCAATTCAAAAAGCTTTTGGTTTGAATGAGACGATAGTGCTTCAGGGAAACACTTAATCTTGAAGAGGAGATTGTACTAAAGCAGAGTTTTCAAAACTTTCAAACACGGAACCCTTCTGGGGTCAGAAATTGGGGAGGAACCCAGGGCCATTTTTATATGATCATAATATAAATATTTTCATATACTTTTATAAATAATAAGTAAGTTTAAAAAACAATTAAAAAAACAATACATATTGATATATCTGAAATTAAAAATGTGTTTTTTTTTTTTTTTAATTTCATACGCCCCCACAAGTAATACGTGGAACAGAATTACGAACAATGTTAACATGAAATTGATTTCATAGGTAATCAGAATTTTTGGAACATTCAATGAGAACAATGCTTTTGTTTCATATTGTCACATATTTTTTTAATGTTCGTCTTTATACTTGAGAGCTTGATTCTAAAGTCAGCAGCAGGATTAAATCTACTTCTGTATTTAGATTTTATGGCAGTGTAATAGGAAAGTCTACTTTCACGTAAGTAGGTTGCTGTTATGTTTTTAACCGGAATGTATACACACGAAAGTTACGCCAACGAGAGTCAATTAAGAGCCAGGGCTTTTTCCAATATGGTGAGAAAATTAACTTTCAGATTTATGTCGTGTCATAGTAGAATCAATAACTAATTTTCAATTCAGTAGTAGCATGATACAATTATCTTTCACTGATATACGATATAGAAAAGTAATACAAGCTACTTCACAACATTATAGAACAATCTAAATCTGTTGGCTACTATATTTTTACAAATTATTTACCAAACTTGATAATGTGTTATGTTAAACATTTATTACACTGAACTTTTGTCCCGGAAAGCCAGATACTCCTTTGTGGAACCACTGGGTTCCTCGGAATCCACTTTGGGAACATCTACACTAAGGTATACGGTTGTGGCTGAAACGAGTACGCCACACAAATGCCTCGCGAGATTACCGGTCTGTATTGGTTTCACATCACAATACCAGATCCTTGTAAATCCATCTTCTGTTTTTGCTTAATCTCTTCATTTATTATAGTCCTGTCTTATCGTACATCAACTTTTATGAAGTATGTCCACTTTGAGTTGTCAATGACACATGGAGAACAAATTTGATTGTAAAAATATTCAGCCATTAGCCATCTATCTATATATCTACACATCTATCGCTTTACATGTCTAAACCTTTCAAAAATATATGTGTGTATGCGTGCGCGGGTGTGTGTGTGTGTGTACTTGTTTATGTGGGAGCGTATGAATGTATGCATGTATATATAGTATTTAAGTATCTGTGCATGTGCATATATGGGAAATTGTGTTGTAAGAATTCCGGTTGAAACAAATTGTATCATTTTGGCATTATCGTCTCTGTAAAAATAATTGAATACTTCTTTCACATTGACACACCGCTGGGCATTTCACTCACGTTCTCCTCACTAGTATATAGTGTAAATAGGCAATTTTCTTTTCTGCAATTATTCTTTCTGTTCTGTAACCCTTATCAGATTCGTTAAATTGTTGTCTGTCTGTCTCTCTCTATCTCTCTCGCTCTCTGTCTGTCTGTCTGTCTCTCTCTCTCTCTCTCTATATATATATATATATATATATATATATCGAATTACATTCATGCCCAACACACGATGGCTCGGAATACTGCTGCTATAAATGATAAATAATACATTATACATTCACACGGTCAAAACATGAGAATAAATTAAAATGGCTAAAAACGCGACCGGAAGCGCTTGGGACAATCGACGATATGTTTTTGAACTCGGTCAATCCCACCAAACGGAAAAAATGTAAGAACGCAGGAAAAACTAAATAAAAAATTAATAAAATTTTCCTTGCCCGTCATATTTAATGAAAGATGTTTAAAAGAAAGACTACTGCCCAAATATACACTGCACACACACACACACACACACACACACACACACACACACACACACATATATATATATATATATATATATATATATATATATATATATATATATAAGATGGCTTCCAGCTCTCTCTCTCTCTCTCTCTCTCTCTCTATATATATATATATATATATATATATATATATATATATATACGCGGCGAGCGTAGACAAATTTAAAATAAAAACAAAACTGACAAAATTAAATATCCTGTTATTATTTTCCACCTTTTCGACAATACCCAATTCTTTCACGCAACGCGACTCATTTTCTTGCCTACCCTTCCCTTGTGGAACTTTTCAAGTTTCCTTCTCATCTGTTTTTACTCCCTCATTTTTATCAGCTTCCATCCGTCGCATGTTCATTTCCGGTTCTTCTTGCCCCTTCCGGAGATTTTCGCTTCCGACTATCATTCCGAACGTTTGTCTGGCCAGCCATTCGGTCAGTGAGACAAGCAGACGGTCATGTCATCAACCATCCATTCACTTAAGCCATTGTCCAATCACTCTTGAAATGTGGAAGGGGACTAGACTTGTTTTTAATGATTTAATCAATGTCTTTTTTTGTAATTTCTCTCATTTCATATTCTACATTTTTCTTGTGTTATTCTCCTTGCTGTTTATCATTTTTGTTTCAATTTTTTTTACTTGTTTCTTTTATGTTTTGGATTTATAAGGGTTTTTAGATTTAGATTGTTTGAGTTCTTGTCTTGCTGACATCTTTATTTATTTATTTATTTTTTAATTTAACTTTAGTTTCTTGTTCTTTTTTTTTTTTTAAACACGTTCATGCTTTACTCTTTTTTAAAAAATCAATTCCTTTAACGATTTTAGATATTTGTTCACTATTATATTTTCATATATTTAATCTTTTTATTGATTGTTACCCTTGTTACATTTTGGTTTATAAAATAATAAACCAAAATGTCTTATCGAATTGTTTGACATATTTTGTTTGCGTTCTTTTATAGCGAATTTTATGTTTTATCAAGTTTTATGTTATAAAAACATAAGCTTTCTTCTACTTTAATATCTCCCCACCTCTCTTCCCACCATTAATCCCGTACATGCTTTTATAAATATATTTTAAATTTATTTTTAGACCCCTTTTTTCATTCCTCTTTTAATTTTAAATTAATATTTAATACTTCATATAACCCCAAATTAATGCCATAAGTATGATATTCAGGTTTAATTCTTCCCTTTAAAACAAATACTTTCCGCCCTCCTCTGCTCCCTAACTTTTGCCTTTCGTCTGACTGAAACATTGAATTGGATATTTTCTCTATTAGATATTTTTATTTTATTTTAATTATTTATTTATTTATTCTTGCTTTCACAGTTAAATTCTATTTCCCGCCCCTCCTAACTATATAGACACGAACTCAGTTCACACTGGAGTTGATAAGACACACGGCCGATATCTTCGTCTGTCGAAATAGGTTATTCACCATATGAGGTAGTTTTATAATTTATTGTTTATTAATTATATTGCTCTATATTAATAAATACATTGAACTCTTTTTGGGGATCAGTTTTAATAATTTATATTACTAGGATCCACTTGGATTATATTTTAATGGATTTGTTACGTTTGCTACATATATATATATATATATATATATATATATATATATATATATATATATATATATATATATATATATATATATATATATATATATATATATACATATATATATAGTGGGTGGGTGTGTGTGCGCGCGCGTTGATGCCTGTGTAGATATATTAATAAGCCTGCTGTCTAATAATGAAAAATCTATTCTTTTACACAAGAAATATTCACTTTTCAGCATAATATCATTTCTCAACAGCGTACTTAATTCAATGATGAATATTAATCACATAGAATATTATACAGTGAAACTATCGGGTTAAAATTCATTTAATAATTACATGTCACGAGGTTAAGGATTATATTTAATTGATTATTTCGTTTATTACGGCTTATCAACCCTTATGGACTAATATGGGCCATATTTGGACAGATATAAATACTAACATATATTGCTATTTATCATCTCGTAACCTATTAGTGGTGTTCTAGAGCAAGACATCTTGACGGAGCCTATCGCTTTTCAGGCTGGATCTGGATTTCAGAGTTATCCTTCTCTTCAACTGGCTTCTACCTCAAATTAACAAATTCCAGTCAAACATCTTAATTAACCCATAACTAAAGAGGATTAAAATATAGAATTATACTTTTCCGAATGTTAATAGCGCAAAACAGGAATGCAGTGACCTCGGCCGGAATTCGAATTCGAACTTATATATATATACACTCAACATTGAATATATTTAAATTTACTCAAGATGAAAAGCACATTTAATGCATAGATAGATAGATAGATAGATAGATAGATAATAACTCCTACTTAAATAATTACATGTATAAATACATCAAGTTAATGATTTGTAGAAATAGAATTATTAGCTTTTCAGTCGATAGACACCACTACAACTTTAAAATAAGCGAAAATTAAAGAATCAATTATAGAAATTCAGCCCTGGGAATAAGTGACTTAAAATTATTTAAATCCAAATAGAATTGTTTCACATTCCCAATAATAACTGAAAACATACAAATACTTTTAAATAAAAGTTAAAGTGAATTACGTTTAAATTTTTACGGAATAGCTGCGGATAAAGTTTTAAAATACATTATTCCAGTTAAAAAAAAAAAAACTTATATTTGTAAATAGATTTACAAAACAATGGAACTATAGAGATATTTATTTTTTCTTATTTTGAACATTTTTAAAATATAATATTTAAACTTTGCCCATTTCAAATTTCCTAGATTAACTCCTTTGATATTTCACCCCACTTTAAATAAAATGTATTTCAGCGAATTTACCACCATTGAATGTTATTTCATATCTCTCAGCCCCCAGTTTTATAGTCTTCCCAGTGCCACATTCACTTTAACACGATGTTTCTACCAGGCAAACTGAAATCATCAGTCGTATCCGGATATGACGTCAAAAAGGAAGGAAATGAATTTGATTGTTCAATACTTGGGTAATATCACAATATTTTGCAGTGCAAGAGTGAGACAAATAAAAATAGGTTATAGTAGGGCACTTTCCTGTAATTGTTGAATATGATTTTTGACATGTCTTTCATTCTTGAATTGTGACTGCAATTCACTAAATAAAAATCCACTGTTATAAACTCTATCTGAGCTTTCCTAATTATGCCAACGGCAGTTTTAGCACATTTTATTCTCTCTATCGTATCTTCTTTCTTTCCTATTCTTTTCTTCAATATGATTATCCTCTGTTACTCTATTCTTATAGCTTTCTTTTTTACATCTCTCTTTTTGTATATATCCCTCTTATGTCACCATTCCTTTCTCTTTTATGTCTAGTTACGATGTCTCTCTTATCTAGTTCTCACATCCCCAAGTCATACTTTCTAGTATTTCTATATTCTTTATCTCTCTTTCCTCTGTTTCGCTTTCCTATAATATTCCTTTGTCTTATATATTTTTTTTTTTTTTTCTTTCTTTCTTCTCTGTCTCTCACTTTTCAGTCTCTCTCCTTCTTATACCCCTTTTCCTGTCTATTTATACAGTTTTTTCTTCTGTTATTAGATTTTTCTTCCCTATATATTTGTCTCCTCTCTTTATCCCTCTTACTTCTAGATTCTGCATGTCCTTTTTTACCTTTACTCTTTTTTCTCTGACATCTCTATTTCTTTCTTCATTTTTATTTTTTCGCCATTTTCTCTCCATTGACCTATGTATTATTTCCTACGACTATACCCGCAGGCATTGATCAGTGGCTGGCCGTCTAGTGTCTGAATCATTTTAGTAAATTATAGACTGTTCGGAGTAATTGGATATTTAATCGAGCACAAAACATGCTTTCTGTTTAATTTCTTTTTTACGCTTTCAGTTTCATAAGAAAAAAAAAGATTGAAGGAAGAAAACGGATGTAAGTCAAAGAATACATTAAAAATATTAATTTATTCTTTTACTTTTCCCTTTTCCTCTTTCAAATTGTTTTCGTTTTCTTTTGTTTCTTACTAAAATTTGCCTTTCCATAATCCATGCATTCAAAACGAGCATTTGTCGTGAGCCTTATTTGCCTAAAATGATCTCAGACATAATTATTTTTTAGATTTGACGCTTACACAGTTTTGTAAGATTATTTTTGAATGCTTTCTCGTTTTTTTTTAGTTTTTCTTCGAAAATGGCTTCGGGGACGATTGCAATCATGTCTTCTTTTAAAGAAATGTGATGTCAGATTTTAATCATAAATTCTTATTTATGCATATTCAGTTACGTCCAGTTCCTTAGATCATATTTACTACCAAGGTTTGCCTTTGTAGGTAAAGACAAGTCATAAATCAATTGAGTTTATATTAGGTGTCTCTAAAATTTTCTAAAAAAGTGCATGATGAAAAAAGACCCTAAACTTGATAAAAACAAAGTTTTATCGTCAAATATTTATGTTACGACAAGGTAACCAAAAAAGTTCTGTCTGTTTTATGATTAGTCATTGAATGAAGTTGAAATATATACGAAATGCGTGTAGCAATTGTTTTCAAATTCGGACAGCCGGAAGTAGGAACATCAGACGTTATCAAAAACACGTGCACCGTGCCTGGCCATCAGTTATAAGCCGGACAGCTCTGAGAAGAATGGAAGTGTCTAGAGATCTCGGCAGCTGCAATATTGTCGCTGCATATGTCAAGCGTTTGGGGATAGTGCTGTGAATGAACGTACTGAAAGTCGTTGATTTCGAAAATTCAAGTCAGGAGATTTGTCTCTCCATGATGAGCCTCACAGTGGACGACCACAGGTCTTGAATGACGGAGTCATGAAGTGGGCCATTGAAGAGGACAGTAGTCTAACGTGTGGTAAACTTGCAAGACAGTTCAACGTTTCCGATGAAACAGTTAGACTTCACCTGCAGCGCTTAGGTAAGACGTACAAACTGAGCAAGTGGGTTCCGCAAACGCTGTTGGAGGTCAACAAGGGACAATGAGTGGCAGCCTGCATATTGCTGCTTTCTCGCCACCGTACCGCATCCTTTTTCAATCGAGTGCTTACCAGTGATGAAAAGTGGGTTCTGTACGAAACTCCCAAGCATTCCAGACATTGGTTGTCTCCCCAGGATGCTGTCCGTCACACCGCAAGACCGCCTATGCACCCACACAAGATTATGCTTTATGTCTGGGGGACAGGTCGTCAAGTGGTTCATTATGAACTGCTACCAAAGAGCCAAACGGTCACTGGAGACCTATACTCGCAGCAATTGAAACGTGTGCAACAAGCATTGCGCCGGAAGGAGCCAGCACTGGTGAATCGCAAAGGTGTGCTTTTCCTCCATGACAACGCCAGGCCGCATGTCGCGCGAGTGGTCAGGGATACCATACAGCAACTTGGGTGGGAGACTTTGTGCCATCCACCTTATTCACCTGACCTTACGCCATCCGATTACCACCTCTTCCACTCCCTAGATAATCATCTTCGTGGGAAATCCTTCACCAATGAAGCAGACTTGCGCAAAGCCCTCAGGAACTTCTTTGCGTCAAAACCCCCCGAGTTCTACCGCAAGGGCATTGAACAGCTGGCGTTGACAGAAGATGCTGGATGTCAATGGCGATTACTTTGAAGACTAAATATAAGTTACACATACTGTGAAGCGTTTTCTTTTTTCCTTTAAAAACGGACAGAACTTTTTTGGTTACCTTGTATTACGTGGAAAGACCAAAGTATTTTTTTTATTATTTTACTAAATTTTTTAATCCTTTCTAGCCCGCTTAAGTCTTGTATAAAAATCTTGATTTTCTTGCGCCAGCAGGTAAGGCAAAGATTAGTATTGGAATTTTTAGTGTCTTTTTTGGCTTTAAAAGCACATTGTTTTGGAAATTCTAGTAAAAATAAATAATTTTCGGATTTAAGGTAATTTTCAGGAGTTATTCAGAAATGCATGAAATATCTTTGAAAATTTTTCTCTTTAGAAACTGTTGGTAACAATATTTTTGTTTTGCATTTAGAAATTAAAACTTCAGTCTCTTTAGATTCATATCAGAATTCCTTGGAGAATTTAAACATCAATTGTTTTTTGTCAAGTAGAAGCACCATTTATCGAAAATATTTTTGGAATTTTAAAATAAAATTCAATAAAACTATAAAATCATTTAATTATAAATCTTTTAATTGGTTTAATAAATAAGATGACATTATTGGCTTAAGAATTTTTTTCAATGAATAATGAATTTTTGCAAGAATTCTGTTAATTTTTTTATTTTTTATTAGAAAGATTA